GGCTAATGACTTTTGAGAAAGAGAATTTCTACATTTAATCAGAGTAAGACACTCAGTGATCATGTGACCCCTGTCCAATGAGGATGTTGATCATGTGTTGTGCTGTTTATGTGCTTGCTCTGTTCCATGACTTTGTACAGAATTTTTTCCCTATTTGCCAATCATGTCTAGTTCCTGTTTTCAAGAGTGTTCATGTGAAAGAGAAACTATTATCACACTAGAGTCTAAAAGCATATAATAAGTGTATAATATATAGTAGAGTAAGATTAATCATGAATATGAAATAGGCAAATATCATCAGGGTACAAAGAATAAATAACACTTAGCAAGAAGCTATAATAAAACGTGAACATAGGGAGGCACACCCCTCAATCCCAGTGACTGGAAAGAATGATTTTTAAGGCCTACTTAGATACTATCAATGGTATAGATCAGTAGTAAAGCATCTCTGAGTTAAATCCCTACTACTTTTCAAAAAAAAAAATAGTGAACACAGGAAAAACTCATTTTAGAAAAGATAAAAACTGAACAATTTCTCTGAAAAAAAAAATATAACCAAAATGTACCCAGGACCAAGGGTACAGCATATGATTTCATATTTGCTCAAATTAAATAGAGGAACTTATTTAAGATGAAAGGCTGTACTTGCTTATCATTAGTAGCACTACAATTCAGATCCAATATTACAAGATTTGCCTGTAGACTAATCAAAAGTAAACCTGCTAAAGGAAAAGAAGCACACCAATAAGTCTTCAGGAGAAACGTAACAGACTAAATATCTTAAATTATTGATAGGTGAAGTATAAAGAAGGAAAAATCCTTAGAATACTTTCACAGAAACTATAAAAAATGAGATTAGGAATAAGTTTTTATTTCATTCTGTGATGCTGAAGAGTCAGTCACATTGTCAGGAATAAGATTGTGGGGAAAAAAAGGCCAAATGTTTTCTCTGGTATGCAGATACTAATACACAATGGTGGGGTGGATAGAAGTTCACTGGTTTAGACAAAGGGGAATGAAGGGAAGGGAAGAGGAATGGGAATAGGAAAGACAGTAGAACAAACTGGACATAACTTTCCTAAGCTCATGTATAAATACACGGCCAGGGTAACTCCACATCATGGACAACCACAAGTCTGGGAAGTTATACTCCATGTGTGTAATAATATGCCCAAATACATTCTACTATCATGTTTATCTAAAAAGAACAAAAAGGAAGGAAAAAAGAAAGAAAGGGAGGAAGGGCGGAAGGAAGGAGATCATGAACTAAACTGAACATACCCTGGGTGGGAAAAGAAAAACCAATGACCCATTGATTCTCATCTTCAAAGATATAATACAACCTATTTTTAAAAAGGAAACCAAACATATATAAAAATATCTATGAAATGGAGAAAAAAATTACTTATGGGAAAATTACATATTTAACAGATGACAAAAAGAAACTGAGGCAAAAATTGGTCCTTTTTAAGAAAAAGAGAAAAGAAATATTATATTAATAAAAGGTTATTTACTCATAAAAGAGTAAAGGTTGTAAACACATTAAAAATTTTAAAAAACTAAGAATGACTCAGCACTGAGTTTTGTAACACCAAAGTTCCTAAGATCATTCAAGTTATCCCAAAAGCCAGACTTCACACAGGGAGATATTATTACATAGAGGAGACTATCAGACTGAAGTAGGTGTGGACACAGCCCAGGAAGCTATGCATAAATTTACTATGAATCATTTTACTACCAGAAATGTGTCAACCTAAATATAGTATGGAGTATACTGTTTCTGGCTTGGATTAAATGGCAGGAGGGTCAGTAATACAGCACCTTGGCATCTCTTCTAACTATGGACCAATTAAGAAAGGAAACACAAGGAAATAGCAAGCCTCAAAAAAAGCATACTGATAATGCTCTATTTCTCTTTCCTTGTTTCCCTAGAGCATTAGTACTCAGTAACTCTGGGGAATCAAAGAAAATTGCATTCTTTTTATACTGGAAAAGAAAAATTGGTAAGGCAGATAATATAAATAAAAAGAAAGCATTTTGTGATAAACAAAACTGAAGAGACTAAATTTTAGGGATAAAGGAAACCTGAAAAGTCCATTTGTCCAAATACTACTTCAATAAAAATGAATTCATCATTGTAAAACTGTCAAACTCCTATTTATAAGTAAACATTTTCTTTAATTATCCTGGCGTTAAAGTAAAATAAGAAGTTAGGAACTAATTTACATATTATAATCTCTCCTTTCCTAAGGTTTTCTACATTGTCAACATAAACTGATAATTCATAAATATTAATTCATATTGACCCAGGTAAATCTGTCCTGAATTTTAAGTTCTGTTGACGTTACAAAATCAATTCCAATTTTTTTCTTCCTCCTTCTCAAGCTAGCCTCCTATGCCAAAAATCACTAAAACAATTTAAGTGACCTCTAACATTCTTAATTCATAAATTCATTAAATTTGCTGGATTTAAATCAACCTTCACCATTTACCTAAAATAAAAATAGGAATTCAAAAAAACTAGAAAGGAAAATTGTATCAATTATCTATTATAGATAGGATCCTTTCAGTTTATCTGAAATCAAAAGGCAAAATATCCAACATTCTATCAATTGTAACAATCACTCCTTCAAAATTCCCATGGGATAATTTGAATTTCTAAATCTTTTTCAACATGTCATACATTAAAACTGACTGCTAGAGCTGCAGTTGTAGTTCAGTGGTAAAGCAATTGCCTAGCATGTATGAGGCACTGGGTTCAATGATTAGCATCACATAAAAATAAATAAATAAGTAAAATAAAGGTATTATGTCTTTCTACAACTTAAAAAAAAAATTAAAGGCACTGCTTTCCCACTTAATCTCCACAAGACTGGTACACTGTGAGGGCAGAAGCTGTGTTATCCCTTAGTGGTTTCTAGCACATTTTCTTAACACTGTATTTAATACTTTCTGCTCACCAATATCCTCTTACCTATCTCACAAGAATATTGCAAGGATCAAGTAGCATAATAGTTCAGAGAACTGTGCAAAATTAAAATGTCTTACACATGTCAAATGAATTTTATTTCATTATCATCTATGATTATCCTAAATCTTAGTTGGCAAGTGGTGGCATGCTCTAAGAATGGAACAAAACAAACAAACCTTATGATATGCAGGAGTTTGACTGCTCCAAAGCCTCCTTTTCTCTTTAATTCTACAGGTTCTGGCGCTCACCTAGAAGCTTTCATCAACTCCTACCCCATGTTATTCCAGCACCCCACCACCACTCCCCACCAAACATCAAGTTGTCATTCTGGAGTTTTTAGGGTTTCCACCCATTCTATCATTCCTAATAATTGGCTTTTTTTTCCTTTTAATTTTTCTTTTTTTTTCTATAATTTTCAAACTAGTATACAGACAAGATAAAAAGAATTAACAGATCAGGGTCTTATGATTATGTCTATAATGTTGAAGAAAACATTTGTGTTTCTGTGCCTTTTTAAAAATGTCAATATACATGTGTAACATTGCCTTAGCTACAATAATTTAAGACGGACACAAGGGGTACAATATCTAGGTTACATCTTAAGTTGCAAGAACACATTTTGCCTTAAGGAAAGAATCCTGATACCACAATGAAGAGGTTTAGTTTCTAGGTTTAGTTTCCATCTCTTAAATATCAATTTACTACATGATCTTTGATATGACATATCATGTCCCTAGACTTCTAGTTATTCTTCTGTAATAAAGGAATTAGGATAAATTCTTTAAAAAAAAAAAAACTTCCAGTGCAAAATTCTGGGATTTAGCCTGAACTACCATTAAAATTTTTCAACTTATCTTTAAATCAACCTTTACCATTTGCAACTAAACATACCAACAACATTCTAAATAATTTCACGGGACAAAATATCATTTGAGTAATCAGTACCAGAAATAAAGTTTCTCTTTAATCTTTTGTTTAAAAAATTCCTTTTTACCCCAAAATGCCTATTGCTTCATTATAATAGATGTTTGCCTACAAATCTTCAACATCAAATGTACAATGATTACACTTTCCTTACTGTAAACTGAATTTAAAAAAACAGCTTATATTTACTATGTTAAGCGATAAATTCGTATGAATTTTTTTCCAACACCAATTCAGGACACCTTCAGCCCCACTACATTAAAATTTTTTTTTAATTTGTAGAACAGTTTTACATAAACAAAACTTGAGAAACAGAATTTCTATAATATACCCTGCACCTAGGCTCCTTCACTGTTCATATCTTGAATTATTATGATACATTTGTCACAATTAATGAAATATTAATTAATCTCTAGTTTTCTCACATAAACATGCAAAATGTCAAAAAAATTCCAAAGAAAGACTTTTATTATAAGAGCAATGAAAACAACTTAATGAGACACATAGTAAAAAATTTACATAGAAAACATAATAATTAAGATCAAGCATATCAATTATCAATAATAAATGCAAAGAGCTTAACTCTTCTATTAAAAGAAAAAAATGTTCAGATCGGTATATGAAATTGTTACGTGTAAGGAAACACACCTGAAACAAAGTTAATTGGAAAATGTTTGAAAAAAGGAAATGAGCGAAAGTATAACAGACAAATACAATCAAAAAGAAAGCACTGATTATAATCTAAATAACTGACAAGTTAAAATCCAGGCCAAAAAGTACATACCAAGACAAAAGTATGCTAAAACCCAAATTAACAGTAAGGAAAATAAATCAGTTATAAATATTTTCAATTCATTGAATAGCACAATCACAAGCTTTATAAAGAAAAAATCTATAGGAGATGCATTGAGAAATTAGTAGAAATAAAATAGTAGGTAAAGCAATAGAAGACCTAAGAAATGTAATCAATAATCTTATACTAAATTTATTATACTGAACTTTGTGCTCTGATAGAGAAAACAACCTCATTTCAAGTATACATGGACTATTCACAAAAACTAAACATATGAGGGCTGTGGTTGTGTCTCAGTGGTAGAATACTCACCTAGCATGCACGAGGCACTGTGTTTGATCCTCAGCACCACATAAAGGTAAAATAAAGATATTGTGTCCACCTAAAACCTAAAAATAAAAATTTTTTAAAAATTGACCACGAGGCCATTAATCTCAATAAGCTCAATAGAGTAGAAACAATGCAAACTTGATTCCTCTTATCACAGTGCAATAAAACTACGTAAGAAAACCAGCAACAATGAAAAAGCTCTCCTATTTTTTTTTAAAGTGCTCTATTAAATGAATGAGATGGAAATCTCAAAATCTGTAAAAACAGGGGCTGGTGTTGTAGCTCAGTGGTAGAGCACCTGCCTAGCATGCATGAGGGCACTGAGTTCAATCCCCAGAACCACATAAAAATAAACAAAAAATAAAGGTATTGTGTCCATCTCCAATGAAAAAAATATTTTGTAAAACTTATCTACCAAAAGAAAGAAAAATTTCCAAATGAAAAGAGAGCCCACCGCCCAAAAAAAAAAAGTAAATCCTAGATGAAAATATGAATGAATTCAGTAATAACCTGGGAATCAGGAAAGCCTAGCAGTGACTCAAAATCAAAACACAAAAAATATGTTAATGTTTGAATCTAGAAATATCCCCATAAAAGCTCATGTTTTATGAAAATTACCCCTAACAGCAAAGTTCAGAGGTGAAATTATTCTATTATAGAGCTATAACCTCATCAGAGGATTAATCCATTTGATGGATTAATAATTTGGATGAACTACTAGGAGGTAACTGTAGGCAGGTGGAATGTGCTTAGAGGAAGGAAGTCACTGGGGGTGTGTGTATACCTTGTCCTTGGCCCCTCTGGCTCTCACCCTCTTTTCCAGCTGCCAAGAGCTAACTTTCCTCTGCAAGAGGCTTCCACTATCATGTCTGCCTTACCCTCTGGCCCAGAAAAAAGGAGTTACACACTATGAACAGAACTTCTGAAACTGAGATCTAAATAAACTTTTCCTCTAAGTTGTTCTTGTCAAGTATTTGACCATAATACTGTGATGTAAAGCTAACACAATACTTTTAATTGATAATTCCAACAATAAAAATGGATTTTAAGGTTTATACTGGGGTGGGGGGAGCAAAGGCAGAAAATAAACTGTCAGAAAAATATGTGGTTGTTAAATAAGCACTACTAAGCACTGAGTTGTTGCTGGCCCAAACCCAAATGGATTAAAAGTGTAAAGTACGCCACAGATTTTCAAGATGTGATAATACCAAATAAAATTAAAATACATTGATAAATTTCATTTTGATTATATATTCATGTTGAACACTGGGAATGATATTTTGGATACATGTGATAATGTCTGGACGTATATTTTAATTAAAACTTCGTAATTTTTCGTGTGTAATTTAAAATCTGTATTAGCCAAATATGGCTCACAATTTCTACTGGACAGCAGTAATTTTAGGCTGTGACTCAACAATTCCCTGACCCTGTGACCACCCTGAAGATAAAGTTTTACAAATAAATATAGACCATTATTCCCTGAGACATTATTTGGAATGGGAAAGATTAGACATACCCCAGTACATGCCAGGAGTGGTGGTGCCTGCCTATAACCCCAGAGACTGAGGAGACTGAGGCAGGAGGATTGAGAGTTCAAAGCCAGTCTCAGCAAAAGCAAGGCACTAAGCAATTCAGTGGGACCCTGTCTCTAAATAAATCACAAAATAGGGCTGGGGATGTGGCTCAGTGGTCAAATACCCTTGAGTTAAATCCCTGGTTGTTGAAAGCCACAGCCAAAGGGGCCCCAGCAAACTTCCAGCTGCCAGCAAACTTCCAGCTGCTGGCTGATGATTGGCTCACAGCGGCCCCAGCAACATCTAGCTGATTGGCTCCTCGGCCCCAGCAACATCTAGCTGATTGGCTCCTCTGCGGTGATGCTCATTGGGCTGTTTCCCTGCCCTTTCAGACCACGGAGCTGCTCATTGGGGGACTTTTTTGACTCCACCCACGTGACCCAGCCAATCGGCCTCAAGAGCAGGAGGATTGTGGGAGGTGGGGAGAAGCTTGGGTGGGAGAGAGAGGCTTGTGGAAAGCCGGTGGTGGCAGTTGAGGCTCTGAGGGTTTTTCCTGAGAGGCTATTTTGTTTGGCGTGTGTGGTTCTAAAAATAAAGTTAGTTTCTTTTGACAAGTGGCTCCTGATTGTGCCCAGCCAGACTGCGGCATTCGGTGGCTCGCACGGGGAGCGACTGAGGGTAAGTGAAACTGCTCGCCCCTGAGGGCAGGGCGAGAGGATGGGTAGCCATTTTAAGATTCCTCTTTTATTTTGCTTCACTTTTGTTTTAAGTTGCCTGTCCCTGGAGATGAGTGAGACGGAAGAAAAACCGCTCACATCTGAGGAAAAACTATTTACGTCTGAGGAACAGATAGGGAGAAAGGACGGATGCCCATGTCAGGAGGATAGAAAGGCTATAATGACTTTTTGTTGTTCCCTTTTTATTTCATTCTGTCTCGGTTTTGTTTGGCGTCATCTTGTTGGGTTGTATTATAGTAGAAATACGGGATCAGAAATTAGTAAAAAACAAACTGAAAGAGTGTTAAGTAAATTGTTAGAGGAAGGAGGCATCCCAGTAAAATCAAGAGCAGTCAGGGCATACGTTGATACAATACAAAAATGTAGCCCATGGCTTTTTAAGGAGGAGTTGTTAAATATATCACAATGGAACCATCATGGTGAAGATTTAAAAAGAATAGAAAAGAAAAGCCCAGGGACTCTGCCAGTTGGCACATTGCCATTGTGGACATTCGTATCTTGTTTGCTTAGTCCAAAGCCTTCAGTTCAGACAATGGTAGAGGAAGGAGAAGACATAATGATTCAAGTAAAAGAGAAGGTCTCTCAAGTTAGTCAGACAGAGGAAAAGATTCAAGTAAAAGAGAAGGCCTCTCAAGCTAGTCAGACAGAGACAGAAAGTGTAAAACAGAAAAAGCCATCAGGGGGAAAGTTACAACAGGAGACTGCTACTAACACCTTTCTATCACCAGAGGGTGTAAGTGTCCAGCCAACAGCACCACCTCTACAGGAGACTGCTACTAACACCTTTCTATCACCAGAGGGCGTAAGTGTCCAACCAACAGCGCCACCTCCATATGCTGGGAGGCCCCCAACCCCCGCAGTTGATAGTTGGGATCCTGAGACAAGATCTCAAATATTAACATGCCCTGTATTTGAGGCAGGAGGGCAGCGATTTTACCAAGTTTTAAATTTCAAAACAGTGAAGCAGCTAAAAGAGGCTGTAACAACCTATGGTCCTCAAGCACCCTTCACTGTAAGCATGGTCGGATCCATTAACAACTTGAACATGACGCCAGCAGATTGGGCTAATATGTGTAAAGCTGTGCTAAATGGAGGACAATACCTGTTATGGAAGGTTGCCAATGAGGAATTTTGCAAGGAGACGGCTAGGCGAAATGCAGCAGCTGGTTATCCTCAGAGAAATCTAGATATGTTGTTAGGAAAGGGACCTTATGAGGATCAGCAGCAACAAATTGCATATGATCCTGGCGTATACGCACAAATTGCTGCAGATGCAATTAAGGCATGGAAGACTTTACAAGGACATGGAGGTTTACAAGGTCAATTATCTAAGGTAATACAAGGAGCTAATGAACCTTATGCTGAATTTGTAGATAGGCTTATTCAAACAGCTACCAGAGTTTTTGGGAATACAGAACAAGCAATGCCATTACTAAAACACCTGGCTTATGAGCAAGCGAATCGTTGGTGCAGAGATATCATTAGACCATGGAAACATGAAGATTTAAACACATATATTAAATTATGTAGAGACATTAATGAACAAGAGCAAGTCGTGGCAGCTGCAGTAAAACAGGCTTTAGATGCCAGAGACATTAATGAACAAGGGCAAATTGTGGCAGCTGCAGTAAAACAGGCTTTAGATGCCAGGCCAAGAACATGCTACAATTGTGAACAAACAGGACATTTTAAAAGGAATTGTCCCATTGGAGGAGGGTTTAACAAAACTAGGTATCAAAGGACTAGAATACCAGGTATTTGCCCATGGTGCCGTAGAGGGAGACATTGGGCTAATGAATGCCGTTCTCAAACCACCATAGAGGGTACTCCATTATCAAAAAACTAACAAGGACCAGGTGTTTATCCACGATATCGTGGAGAAAGGCATCGGGCTCCATTGCCAAAAAATGGACAGGGGGGCCCAATGCTCCGGGGCCCAAAACCACAAATATACGGAGCACTGGAGGAACCCAGCAACCCCATCAGGGTAGTGCCCAGGACACATTGTCCATCAGATCCCTCATCAGACAAACCAGAGGGAGCGCAGGGTTGGACATCTGCGCCTCCGCCAGAGCAGTACTAACTCCAGAGATGGGAGTTCAAATCATTCCCACAGGGGTGAAAGGACCTCTTCCCAAAGGAACAGTAGGCTTATTATTGGGACGCAGCTCTTCTACTCTAAAAGGACTTATGATAAGTCCTGGGGTAATTGATCCCGATTATGAAGGTGAAATAAAAATTATAGCCAGTTCTCCAAAGGGTATATCAGTAATTTCACCAGGAGATAGAATAGCACAGTTACTAATAATACCCAGCCTACATGATAAATTTTCCAGTCGTACTGTAGAAAGAGGTTCCAAGGGATTAGGCTCCACAGGTGTAGATTGGGCTATGCTTTCTTTAAATTTAGATTCTCGCCCCATGCTAAAACTAAATATTCAAGGACATGAATTTAATGGGCTACTGGATACAGGTGCAGACCTTAGCATCATCTCTCGTCAAGAATGGCCAAAACATTGGCCATTACAACAAGCCACTCAAACGCTTCGAGGCCTAGGAGTGGCAACTAATCCCCATAGAAGTGCAATGGTATTAGATTGGAAGGATCCTGAAGGATGTGAAGGAACTATACAGCCATATGTATTGGATCATCTTCCCATAAATTTATGGGGACGAGATGTCCTAGATCAATTAGGTTTGACATTAACAAATAACATCAACCAAAATGCACCCACTATTATGACTAGACAAGGTTTTAGGAAAGGAAAAAGATTAGAAAAACAAGAACAAGGTATAGCAGCACCA